AGAGGACACACTACGGGAGAGAGGAGACACAAAGTTAGTGATGTGTAATGGTGGCATATAGAAGCATAGGAAGAGAGGAGAGGGGAGAGAAACTCAGAGCATCATGGGGCCCCCCAGCAGCCTAGGCCTATAGCAGCATAACTAAGGGAAGGCTCAGGGTCACCTGATCCACCCTAACTATAAGCTTTATCAAAAAGGAACGTCTTAAGTCTAATCTTAAAGGTAGAGAGGGTGTCCGCCTCCTGAACTGAGACTGGGAGTTGGTTCCATAGGAGAGGAGTTTGATAGCTAAAGGCTCTGCCTCCCATTCTGCTTCTGTGGACTCTAGGAACCACAAGTAGACCTGCACTCTGAGAGCGAAGTGCTCTGTTAGGATGATAAGGCTCTATGAGGTCTTTAAGATACGATGGAGCCTTGTCATTAAGGGCTTTGTATGTTAGGAGAAGGATTTTAAATTCTATTCTGAATTTTACAGGGAGCCAGTGGAGAGAAGCTAATATGGGAGAGATGTGATCTCTCTTGCTACAAAACCACTTGGGCACTCATTCCCATATACACATGTACAGATAGTATATACTCACACCCAAGTGATGGATCATTCAGTACGCACATTGATCACCATCTGATTTACAGAAGCAGTAAGCACTGTAAACAGTAACATGGATTTTTCTGGATTTCCATAAAATACATGTGCAATTTATTCACCTTTTAGAGTAAAATCAATGTAGTTCTCTGGATGCAAAACAAATTTCTCTCACAGTCGGTATGAAAACACAAAAGGTTGCTATTGATGCATGGTTTAATCTCAGAGAAATGCTGCTGTTTCTCAAGGATATTGGCAGGGCTTCAGATTTATTTATACAGATGGAAACAGCTGATTTATATTTTGTGTAAAAATCAGAAGTAAACTTAAGTTTTGGGCCGCTTTATATTAGGCAGGCCCCCTCCCTGTCTACTTTTAAGTCTTATTTGAAGACCTACTTCTATTCATTGGCGTTTGACCAGGAATGACACTCTGTCCGTAGTGTTAGTGTTTATATTACTGTCTATAGCTTTTTATGTGTTGTTTTTATATCTGTATGATATGTTAAGTGCTTTGGTCAGCTGTGCTGTGGTAAAGCGCTATATAAATAAAGTTGAGTTGAGAAGTTTTGATTATCTCAATTTTTTGTTAAAGTGCAATGTGTATTTAGGTGTACTTGACATTTTCTTCTGTAAACCAAAATCTAGCTAAAGAGCTACAATACACAAATAATAACGCAATAATAATAACAAAAAGACCTCATTTAGTTCAAACTGGCAGTTATTAATATTGATGTATATATTTAACAGGAACATACAACTTCTAACTTGTCTTTGCCAAGACAGAGTATCTGTGTGTGTGTGTGTGTGTGTCAGTCAGGCATATTAGTGCATGTCATAGCTTCACTCATTGTTTGTTTGTGTTTTGCACTGTACATGTGCTACATTGCCAGTTAGGAGGAGCATTATTCTCTGAACATTTCTCAGAGGTGTCGCCATGAAGTCAGCACTCATCAAAGGGTCCCTCCTAGGAATTTCAGCCAATATGATGATGTAATCGCCTCCACTTTTCTAAAAGGCCTTCCCACAAGGTTTTGGAGCCTGGCTGTGTAGAATTGCACTCATTCAGCCTCAAGAGCATTAGTGTGGTTGACCAATGATGTTAAGCATCTCGTTACATGATGGGGAACATAACCATCTCTAGTAATAATTTGAATGTATGCATTTATTTTTCCCCAAATTGTTGAAACAATCCATCTGACACTGATTTGATTTTGGATGAGGGCTTTAAAAATGTCCACTTTATTTAAGGTCTACATAGTAAAAGAGAGATAAAGTGCTCTAAAAAAAGTCATCTTCATTGTTTGTTTTTATGGGTGCTGCTCGCTGTAAGACTTGGTTTAGAATTTTGTATCACACACAGATACCTGCACACCTAAGGGTGCTTTGTGTAAATAAGCATGCCTGCACCCTTGTAGGGAGGTCAGAGCATCCATCCATCTAGCCCTGCCTAGGGTCATCACACACACACACACACACGCACAGTTTCACAACTTCACACACCCACAAAATCTTTTTTTTCTGTTTTCTGTCCATATTTCTTTCCCTCAAACACACACACACAAACATTCCTCTTCTACCCTGCAGCCATCATTTAGTGGTTTGTGTTCAGAAAGTGTTTTGGATGTGTAACACTAGAAATGACAAGACACAGGAAGACAGAACACTGTCCAGAGGACTCTGTGTGTGTGTGTGTGTGTGTGTGTGTGTGTGTTTGTTTGTACCACTCTAATGTATTTGAGCTACAGAGGTGGCAAACACCTGCAGAGTCATGCTGCTCACCCCTTGATGTCTTTGTCCCCTGTATGCTAACACAGATATGCACACACTAAATGTTGGATTTGGGTTTAATAAACAAAACAGCTTTTAGTTGGTTTATTTTTTATTTGATGAGAGGAGAATAGATAAAAGCATTTTTGTTACATTGTATGACTCTCTCTCTTTCTATCTCTCTCTCTCCCTCTCCAGAGAGCTTGCAGTACTTTTGTCTCTTCCTGTGAGCAGAGCTCTCATCACCCTCCCTGATGATTTCTAATGTTTAGGGAGGGACAAGAACAGAACAGATGAAGCTTTGGATGGATGGATAGGCGACAGAATGAGGGAACGCAGCAGAAAGGTAAGAGGGACAATGCAGAGGTAGGTGTCTGTATTTAAAAACACAATGACGATGTTTTTTCACTGTTTTTAGTTTTTTGTTTGTTTGTTTGTTCATTTCAGAAAAGTTATTTAACCTCTTACATCTTTTGGGTAATTTATTACGAACTCATGCTGTGCAGCCAAATATTGTCCATACCCAGATTTTATTCAGGACTCTTCTGGTGATCCCAAAGTTTCTAATGGTATGAAATATTCCTGGCTGAATTTTGTGGGAAATGTGTTTACGCTGAAGAATAAGACATCTCAGATATCTCAATGTGGCCCATCTGACAAGCTGTTCTCATGGTGTGTACTGGCTCCTTCAGGGAGATGACACTGTCTAACCCGATTAGTGAAAACAGCTGTGTGGATGAACCAAGACTTGGTCTGGGCTTTAAAGTCAAAGTCACTGTCACTTGGTCCAACCATGAAACTGAAAGACAGTAAAGAAATCCTGAAGTGAAGAGAGGGCGTTTGAATGTAATTTCATTTTTATATTGGTTTATTTACTTTTTTTTATTTTTTTTTAACATATATTTAGCATTTAACAGATCAGTTAAAACAAGGACTCAGGACTAGAACACTTACATTTGACTTAGATCATAAAAACAAGTTTTTAATCTAATCATTTTTGGTGAGCTTGTGGATGATATGTGTGATTTTAATGTTTGAAATTTATCAGACTCTAAAAAAATCTTTATGCAGACTCTAAAAAATTATTCAGTTGACATTATTATAGAGTTTCATGACATATGTTTTACAGACTGTAAATTCCACTGGGACAAACTGATTTTAGCTGTATGGATACATTTAACTTGACACTTCACTTTGATAAAGGTAGGCACACATCAGTTATATAAAATGTTTACTGGATAAAAGTATAGAAAAACACTGAACATTTCCACATTTCAGTCACATGGTTTGGATTTAAGAAAGATACATGTCACAGACGTGAAAAGTCTAGGCAGGAAATAAAACATTACTACTTAAATGTATTGCATACATTTCCTGTACAAATGCATATGCACATACATAAATACACATTTAAATATAAATTAGTGCATTTACATCATAAAATAAGTATGTAATGGTTAGAAGTTGTATTTACCATCCTGACCATCACTTAACATTTCACTTTCTCCGTGTGTGTTTGTGCGCGCACATTTGCGGGCGTGTTAAAGCTTTTAGTGGGACAGAGACCAAGCAATTCCTCTTCTCTAACTGTCAGAGAGACCTCATTTTCTCTCTGATGGTTGTTCTTGTTTTTGCCAAACACACACATATGCACACATCTTTGAGAGTGCAGGTCCCTCCTGATTTGCCCTCCCTACTGTACACACAACCACCCTCTGCCCTCACACCCCTTTTATGTTCTTAAATATTGATAAGTAGCTTTGCAACATTAATATCTTAGATGGCTTACAAGAACACTTAAATAAAATCTCACTCACCCTGCTGCTTCCTCCCCCTCCCTGCCTCTTCGCCAGCCTCTCATTTGTTTTTCATTTCTGTAATGCGTTTGTCTGTTTGGGAAGTCGAGGGGGAGCTGAGGGAGGGACAAGAGGATTAAAGGGAGTGTGTGTGTGTGTGTGTGTTTGTATAATGAAAGTGGGTACTCAGTTTTTGCATTTTACAGACATTTTTACAAAAAAGGTAAACATAAAAGAGACAATAAGGTGGTATGTTTCACTGGAAAAGTTTAGCATACTACAGCCACCAACTGTAGGTTTACCTGATTGGCTGGCATGTGTTGGTTAAAATCAAATATAGTTCTTGGCTAAAGCTACAACTTAGCCTGCATTCAGTGACTGTAAAACTGCTTACTCTGTACACTGTTTTGGGGGGGGGATTAATCAGACTTGTTCACCTACACTCCACTTTGAGAAACTGTTCATCTCATTTTAGAAACTGAGGGAAGCTCCTTTTGCTTACAGTGGGTAACACTGATTTGTTAACACTAAACCCATAGTACAGGGTGACTGTGTGTGTGTGTGTGTGTGTGTGTGTGTGTGTGTGTGTGTGTGTGTGTGTTCCTGATTTAACCCCTGCTGAAGTCCTGAGAGACTGATAGAGAGTTTTAAAGGGATTAGAGCAGGATTAGGGACCAACTGGGAGGGATTAGCCCCCCGACTCTTATAGCTGCTCACATAGCAGATACCAGACACACAATACAAGACCTGACACATACTGTACATGCAAAGAGCCACACACTTGTGCCCAGTGAAGTCTGGACATAGTTTTGTCTTGTCGTGTGAACCAGCAAGCCTTACACCTCCATAAAATGTTTTCTTCGGGGAAGGGGAAAAGTGACGTGTGTGTGAAAGAGAAAGGGTGAATGTACATTTACTAAGTTCACCCTGGAAATGAGAAATTTCTTTAAGGCCTCATTTTTGAATAGTGAAGTGGTTAATTTGACATTAGCATTAAATCTTTATGCTCCAGAATTACACAGATCAACAAGGACAAGTAACTGCACCAGACATTTTCAAAATGTACATATGGTTCAAGGTCACTTTATTTACTTTCAGTAAACTTTTTAGTGCAGTAACTTCAAAGTCGAATCACTTTTTAACAGATGTCTAAAAATAATTTCAGAAACACTCCACATCTTGGGCTTTATGTGAGTACACACACGCACACACACAGATGAAAAAGCCCTCTTGACCGCGTATTTACCCGAGCACAGCTTCTTCCTTCAACAAGACAAATATTTGGTCCAGAGCCTTTTCCACTTGTGTTTGTGTACTGTGTGTGTGTGCGCAGCACAGAGGTTCTTCCAGGGGAAGCCAAATGGAGAAGAGTGATAGGCCGATGTACGGCGAGGTTCATCAAAGTCATGGCGTGCAACAGCACTCATTTTTCATTGGCTGAGGGGTCCTGTGCACCTGCAACCTGCAGCAGCCAGCCCACCTGGGAGAGAGAGGGAAAAAGAAGAATGAGAGAAAGACTGTGACAGAAAGAGAGTAAGAAACAAGCATGAGGAAGAGTCACTGGAAGAAACCAAGAGCATGAGAGAGAGAGAGAGACACTGGTGGTTGGGACAGTTTGAACGACAGCGTTCTCCCTTTTACATTTCACACCCGGACGCTCCTTGCACTGCCGAGGGGAGGAGGCAGGGAGGAAGTGTGGTGGAGGTGTGTGTGGTGTAGGTTGTTTTGCTCAAGGGAGAAAGATGGGGAGATACATTTTGAAGATGTTATTATTATACGTTTACCTTGTTTTGGGCTCACAGGGAGACTAAAAAAGACACAAACACACACACACACAAAGGAACTGTGCACACACAGAAAGCACCTATACATATGGCCACATGTACTACTGTAGCATTCACACACCCATGGTCATGGAGTCAAACCCACAGCCTGCTTCTTCATGTCACTTCAAATCAAAGGTTTTAGTCATTCTCGTCATTTTATCCAAATCAGATAAGGCACCCACACTGTCTATAGTATAAACAAAATATGTTCCCCTTAAGGTTACTTTATATTTTGCTTATTTAGTTACAAGTAGTTCTGTTCTTGTGAAGGTCTGTCAGACCTGTAAGTGTCCCATCAAGCTGTGATGTTCCGATGACACCAGCTCTGATGTGAGTCCAGTTTTGTCATAACCAATAGAAATGATGACCAAACCTATTAAATTAATACCCTTTCCTTTAATCTTCCCTGATGTCACTCACTTAATATAATACATACATCCACTACATACATGGTGGTATTCTCTGCACAAAGTTAAAAAATAAGTGAAACATTAGCAGGAATTCAGTTTGTGTGTGTGTGTATGTGTGTGGCAGGGGTGTGTCACCTGCAGCAGGTTGAGGTCATCATAACTGTATGATGTCCATCGCGCCTGTCAACACACGTTTGATTGTACACTCACCTCGCCGTTGCCGCCGGCTATAGGAGCCCAGCGTCTGTCCAGTATACTACACGCTATACTGGACCCATCACTCAGCCACTGTCACACAGACACACACTCACAGAAACACATACACATGCAGGTAAAGACACATAAATACACAATGTGACAGAAACACATACACACGTGGTCCAGCAGACACCCATATCACTGACACACTCCTGCTGCTTGGGTTCAAATATACAAACTCTCACTCACTCACAACAGACAGCCTACACTGGAAATGAAGCTAATCCATCACACACACACAGCAGGCATCATCACCTTCACAGCTCACCTACTATCATTGTGACATCCATGCCTTCTGGACACTAGAGCTGCTGTGATGAATTCATAAATGCACATGTGCGCACACACACACACACATATTCATGTACAGGTGCTGTGTATAAGCCCAAAGACAAGAAAAAAAATTAACTTGTTTTCTTTCTTTTAACTTTTAAGTCCAAACTAAATCAGACAGTTTTATTCTGAAAGGCTTTACCACACAGATTTTCAAAATACTACTGCTAAAATAACGACCCAAATTATACAAGATAAAGGGAAACTGTAGTTCGTTATATTTTGTCAAAACAGAGCTACTCCTCTGTCAAACATTTAAATTATTTACTTAATATTCACATTCCTGTATGTTCTAGATGATTACTGCAGCACTGTAATGTGTTGGCTAGCTAATTCATATACTGTTGGGTGGTTAAATAATAGGCCAGTAGCTACTAGAACTTTTAAATAAATTTAATGCAATAGAAAGGATGTTTCCTTTTACAATATAGTGAAATGGAAGTTTAAAATAATCTCAAATGAAAATAGTAAACTACCTCCAAATGGTACTTAATTATTTAACTTGTGTAAATGTAATTAGGAACTTTCATCACTGAAGCACAGATGTAATTAATAAAATCAATAATAGCTGCATTTCATTTAGGTGTTCCATTGCTGGGCACTGCCACTGTGCATGCTGGCTCATGATGCATGACTCACTGGGACAACTAAATGGAAGAGAGCCATTGTTAATGATATCACTTTCATCTGTCTCCTTTAAAAATGCCCTATTATTTGTCTAAATAAAAATTCTTTCAAAGCTGCAACCGAAACACCACCCAAAGCTGTGACTGATGTATAATTCAAAAAAAAAAAGAACACCAAATTCCTCAGAGAATCGCTGGTGTGTTTGACAAATGCTCGCTGGTAGCGCTGCGGTGTCGTCCAGCAGCTAGCTGAAGGCTACGGCAGTGTTGTTTCATGGCTCTCTTGTTACTGGGCTGTAAATTCAGGGGATGGCTCCTGTCTCTGTGTATCGATCCAGTCCGTCACCTTGAACCTCAGTATTGACACATGGGGTGACACTGAGCAGGGAAAAGCGGCAATTTACCGACCCTCAATTATGACATTCATAGATGATGTCACAACAGGGGCATGGGCCTTTGAGAGACGCACACACACACACGCACACACAGGGTTTGTCAAGGGACTGAATTCATTTGTTTGTGCTTTATACACCAAAAACACACACCAAGCACTTAATTGCACCCTGTGTGCTTGTGTGTGATTTTGTTTGTGTATGTGCACACTTAGAGTATCTCTGTCAGTGTGTGTATGTATGTGTGTGCATCACCTCTGACAGCCAATCTAATGTCTGCTGCCCTCTTGTTCCCTTCACAGATGGTTCACTGGACCATGTCATTAGCAGAATACAGTCTGCCATTATATTGTCATATTCAATACAACATATTAACAGTAGGCGAGCATGAGGCAAAACATTCTGCCATTGCTGTTGAAATCTCTGTCTCTGTACCATATCTATCATCTAGTAAAGCCAGGTGGGAGTCATGTAATTACTGTGCAACAGTCAGACAAGTTTAATGTTCTTACATGTTCAGTTTTATATTGGTCGCATATGCCAGTAATAATAAAAGTGCTGAGCTTTAACATAAACTGTAATCAGTCAGTTTTGTGACTGGGAACATCTCTTTAAAAAAAACCTGAAAATGAAATTGTGTCAATTTCCTCAACGGTGACCATGTAGAAGAGCAGACCTTCAGCACAGAGGAGCACTGTTACTGGCTTTCAGAAAATGGCACTGTATTCAGTAAAAACAAAGGTTAAAAGGTTAAAACCGATCGCTGGAATAAATGTAACAAAAGTGACAATAGGGCTTCTTTGTTGAATGTGGAGAAACTGAGTAAAGAGTGCGCTGTGTCTTATAGAAAATAAATCTACACCTGAATACATTTTTTTTTAAATGATCAAAACCACTCACTGGTTCTACTGGGAAAAGGTGCTGCTCTTGGGTTATTGCTCAAACAAAACAAGACTTTTGAAGCTGTCACCTTGGGCTCCGGGAAGTTACAATAATAATAATCATTTAAAATGTTTGGTTTTTTTTTTTACATTTAGGCCAAATTATTAATTGAGAAAATAGCCTGTAGATTAATTGATAATCTTAGTCCTGTTGTAAAGGCATTACTATTATTATTGGGCTATATATTTAAAAAAAAAAAGCATCTTTTTCAGGCTTACATACTGTACACGACTTACAAGACTTTTAAGATAATTAGGTTGAGCGCCCACCACTCATGCATGCACTTCCAAAGTTCTTAAAAGAGTAAATGATTCTGATTTTGAGAGCCATCCGTTTGCTTTAAAATAATTATGATCTTTCAGTGACCCAACTTTGGGTCCTGACCTTCGCATGAAGTACACCACTATATTGCGTTACAAATGGATTTCAAATTGAAGCCATATCACATGTCACATATCTGATTCACTAAGTAGTGGCCAGGGGCCACCCAGCCATCGTTAATACTGTATTCAGAATCCATTGATGAGATCATGAAAAACTGTGTGTGTGTTTTTTGTGTGTTTGCCCTCATAAGACTTGCCTTGCATGTCCTGACACTCATAAATACACACACACACACACACACACACACACACACACACACACACACAGAAAGAGAGACATATCCCCAGGGCCTGAGGACTCAGTGTTGACCATTGAGGATGTGGGTCAAAATAAGAGGGCAAAGAAAGAAAGGCTCTTAACAGTGCACACAGATGGGTCATAGTAACACACATACTTTGGGAGGTCAGGGTTCACCTGGAGAAGCTCTGGTCGCTGTCCATCCATCAGTTTTATTACTGAGCCATGTCAAAACAGTGAGTGGATGATTGGTGATTTGGAAAAACAAGTAGACAAACGGTAAAAAAACAGAAAATTATTTTAAAAAAATTATAGTAAATAGTGCGGCGTCCCCAGACATGTGCTGAAAGACTGCGCAGACCAGCTGGCTGGAGTCTTCACCAGGATGTCTAGCCAGTCTCTGGCCCAGTCCACTGTCCCACCCTGCCTGAAGTCGTCCATCCTAGTTCCCCTGCCTAGGAAACCCAACATAACCAGCCTCAATGACTACCGACCAGTTGCACTCACTCCAGTGGTGATGAAGTGTTTTGAGAGACTGGTACGGGGACACATTGTCATTCCTCCCACCAACATCTGACCCACACCAGTTTGCATACAGAGCAAATAGATCCACAGAGGACGCTGTAGCCACAGCCCTCCATGCTGTGATGTCCCACTTGCAGCATCAGGAGAGCTATGCACGGCTGCTTTTTGTGGATTATAGCTCCACATTCAACACCATCCTCCCCCACAAACTGGTGGACAAGCTGGTGGACCTGGGAATTCCATATTCCACCTGCATAAAGATTAAGAGCTTCCTGTCTGGATGCAGCCAGAGGGTGAGAGTGGGCCCACACACATCCACGGCTCTCAGCCTCAGCACAGGTTCCCCACAAGGCTGTGTGCTGAGCCCCCTGCTCTACACCTCTGTACATCCACGACTGCACCCCACACACCACGGCAAAACCACTGTAAAATTTGCTGATGACACCACGGTGGTGGGGCTTATCTCTGGGGGGATGAGACTACCTACAGGGATGAGGTGGAGAGGCTGATAGTGTGGTGCAAAGAGAACAATCTGCTCCTTAATACCTCAAAGACTAAGGAGGTTATTGTCAACTTCAGGAGGAAGAAATCTGACATCTTGCCACTGTATATCAGCGGGGACTGTGTGGAAAGGGTGCTGGCCTTCTGCTTTCTGGGAGTCCACATTAAGGAAGATCTGACCTGGGGTGTGAATACCCCTAAACTGCTTAAAAAGGCCCAGTAGAGACTGTACTTCCTAGTGGTGCTCAGGAAGAACAACATCTCCCAGAGACTGCTGGTGTCCTTCTATCGGTGCCCCGTTGAGAGCATCCTTACATACTGTATATGTGTATGGTACAGCAGCAGCACAGTGGCTCAGAGGAAAAAGCTCCAGAGGGTCATTAATACGGCCCAGGAGATTGTCGGCTACCCTCTCCTCACTCTGGAAGAACTACACAGTTCCCACTGCCCCAAAAACCCCAGAACATCATTAAGGACACTTCACACCCAGGACATTCACTCTTTGAACTGCTGCTGTCAGGTAGACGGTTCAGAGCAATCAAATCAAGGACAACTAGACTCAAGAATAGTTTTTACCCAACAGCAGTTACCACACTCAATGCTGCTAAAATATAATATGCCTATGTGTGTGAGGGGTCTGTTGTTTATTTCATTTTTCTAGCGGTTAAGTTTTTTTTTTTATATGGTCATATTTCATATGTTATATTTTTCTCTATTGCTGTACCGACTGGAGGTCGCTCTTAAATTTTGTTGTACGTGTTAGTGGCAATAAAGGATTATCTATCTATCTAAAATACATTTTCTGTGTGCACTTTGTCACTTTTGTTCTTTGCAGAAACTCAGATGGTCTGCATATATCTGAGTGAGCATGTCATACAGAAGGAGGTCTTTCTGTGTGTATATATATGTCTGGCTCCCCTTATTTCCCAGAGTTTTCCCATGGGAGAATGGCAGACATTTTGTCCTGTCACTCCCCTGTGCTTTCTTCCCCTCGTCTCCTGTCCAATAATGACAGCTTAATTTGCCAGCCAATTACACCTGAGCAGTATTTAAATGAGCCAATCAGGACTTTTGACAGGATGACTGCTCACTCCAGTTAGCTCTCAGAGACAGAGGTTGATTTACTCCCTGGCTCACTTCTGAGCATACCAACAGTATTTTATTGTACTCATTTTTTTCTGACAGTACTGTGTACTGTACTGACAGTATGGGTACATAGTACTGAAAAACATAAAAAAAGATAATGCTATCTTTCTTTTAATTAAAAACATAGTCTGTGTTTTGTGTCAACAAGTTGCACCCTTCTGTCATTTTGGAGTTTAGGCAGAAAACTGTGTAAAAGGAAAGGAGACGAAACAAAACTCAGGCAAAGTGAAACAAAATGAAGAGAGACTGACAAGAGTGGACTTTAATCCCCTTTTGTCTCGTGTGTAAATAATGTCTAAGCATCTCGTTCTGCTCATTTGTGTAATGGGGACTTTACAGAGACTCTGGTGGGGTTAGATGTATAAATGAAGAGAGACGTGTGTGTGTGTGTGTGTTTGTGTGTGTGTGTGAGAGGGAACTGACTGTGCTTTTCCATTTCTAGAGACACACATTTCGTACGAAAGGTTTTGGCATACAAATATCTAAAAGTGTGTTTTGTATATACTCACTATACAAGTAGCATCAAAGTGTGTGTATTCTTGTACTTGCTATATAGTGAGGACCAAAAGTATTTTTTGCTACAGAGTGAGGACCTTTTGGCTGGTCCTCACTTTGTGAAACATTTTTTTGAGGGTTAAGTTTTGGTTTTAGTGTTCAGGTTAGAATTAGGTTTAGATTGGGGTTAGGTAAAGAATTATGGTTAGGTATTTTGTTCTGATGTTTAGGGTAAAGGGCTAGGGAATGCATTATTTCTGAGTGTCGTCACAAAGCTAGTAGTGCGTGTGTGTGTGTGTGTGTGTGTGTGTGTGTGTGTGTGTGTGTGTGTGTGTGTGAACACTCCTTGATTAAGGCTCCTCCAATCTCAGCTGCTTCTTGCTTCCCCAATGTCTCTTCCAATAAGCACAAACACGCACAAACATTATTCATCCATGCATTGACACACATTAAAATCATAGCCATAGCCATATTGAAAATTGACTTTTAAATGTATGACCTGACCTACAGTACCTTTTTGTCACCTGCAAGAATTATTCTGCCTGATGAGTGTGTAACATCATCGAACAATCAAACTCTCCTGTGTGCAAACAGAAAAGAACCTGTTTATGGGGAAATTGGTAAACAAACAAAAGAGACAGAGGGGAAATCAGATGGCTTATATTTTATGTTTGTTAAATATTTTTCTAGTTAATTTTATTTTTTGTATAATTATATGCTCTGTTAATACTGCTCATCAGAGATTCATGGCCATAAAAGTGAATGATGGGAGAGGTGGAAGAAGTTTCATGAGTCAAGAATAAAAAAGCAAGATAAGAAGGCTAAATACAAAAAAAATAGACAATTAGAGAGAAGTGGGAGAGAATAATAGTGAGAATTGGAAGCTGAGACAGAAAGACATCCAAGGAGATTTTGGCAGCGGTCCAGTCATCATGTTGAGTAAATGATTTGACTCTATTATCAAATTGAGGGTTAAAGACTCAACTGTGTAACTGCGACACACACATAAACACTGTTGTTCCATAATGACATCTGGACACCTCTGAGTCAGGGCCCACTGCACATAGAAACACATGGACCCACACACACACACACACATGTGGAGCAACGCATGCTGGTCTATCCCAAGAGTGAGTGGCACCCCACTGTACGACTGACAGCATCCTCCATTAACTCCATCACACACAAAGTATATGTCTGTCTCTCCTTATGTCATAGACTTACACACACAGGAGAGGGGAGGAGAAGGGGATGAGACAAATGGCAAGAAGATAAAGAACAGAGAAGGGAGTGCAATGAAAAGTCTAAATGAAAAGAAAGGAATGGAATTAGGAGGGAAGGAGAGGATACAAGGGGAAAGGGATTAGAAGGTCAAGAGAGGAGATAGAAAAAGCAAAGGAGAAGTGTGGATATGAAAAGGGTGAGAAAAAAGTATAAAACAAGATAAAGAAAAAACAGATGAGAAGAAGGAAAGGAGGGGAGATGAAAGGCAAGAAGGAAAAGGAAAGGAGACAAGAAAATAAAATGAAAAGAAGGAAAGGGGATGGGAGGACGCAGAAATGTTACAAAATACCTGAAGATAGCAGAAAGAGGAAATGAGAAGGGGAAAAAAGAAGCAACAGAGAGGAAATAAGATGAGATGACAAAAGAGGAGGAAGGGAAATAGACGAGAAATAAGGCAAGAAGAAAAATAAAGTAGGGTAGAAGGAAAAGGAGAAAAGACAGTATTAGAATGGAGAGATAAGAAGGAGAAGAAAGGAAACAAAAGGAGTACGGAAAGGAGGAGAATTTAAAGCAAGGACACATGAAAACATCCCGCAACAGAAAAGTGAATGGGCCTAGAGAAGCACAGAATTAAAAAGTTAAGCAAAGATGAAAAAGCCAAGTTGAGCAGAAAGGGAGAAGACAAGCAAGCACATCGAACATCTCTTCTTTGTGTTCCATCTGCGTCGGCGTGATTGCAAACAAAACGAGCGTCGGCAGCTCCGTTAGTTAGTTAGTTAGCAGGGGAATCAGTGAGTACTTAGGCCCCAATTATCCACTAAATCTGCTTCTCTCTCTAAATGAGATTATTGCAACACACAGAAGCTGTGTCTCCCATTGGGTTCCATTAACTTTGATTACTCCTCATTATTTACTTACAGCTCTGCCACTGTTATTGCTTTTACTCACGCTCACGCGCACACACACA